GGTCTCGGCAGGCGTCTTCCCCTCCACCGCAGCAGGAGGAGACCTGAGCAGGTGCAGGTCCACATCCACCATTGTTGCCTGGAGTTGGCTGTGCTGGGGCACAGATGAGGCGGCTGTATTAGGAGAGCGCACCGAGGAAGAGCAGAATGCAAAGCACATTCAAAAGTGGAAGCCGAAGAACGTTCCTGGGTTCCGTGACTAGGCTTCCCCGAGGCCCAGGAGAACAGGAAGGGCCGAAGACAGGGATTCGAAACACAGCTTTTCCAGCTGAAATGAAGACGAATCACTTGAAGAACTTGATTTTGGCCTGAATTCAACCACGTATTATTTCCTGAAAAAAATTTAGCTTTTATATTCCATCTGCTACCTAGGTTGTAAGAATATTTAAGGCAAGATTTCATCAGGAAACGTCACCCCGAGAATAAGTTTCAGTGATTCACTGCACAGCAAAGAACGACAGTTAATAATAATTATCATATATTTCACAGTTGCTAAAAGAGTACATTTTAAACGTTCCCACTACAAAAAAATTTTATTTGTGTGAGGTGACGGATATGTCAGCTGGCTTGATTCAAACATTCCACAATGTATGTGCATGCCAAAAATCCCATTGTACCCCCAAAAATATATACAATCATTATTTGTCAGTTAATTTAAAAAAAAAAAAAAACTCACCAGAACTTTGCCCATAGCCATGGCCTAAAAATGTTCCTTGATTTTTACACTATAAAATATCAGAAGCACAATTCTATTCCTCTCTCCACCATGGCCCGGACCCCAGCAGCTGTCTGGAGAGGAAGGAGCGGCCCCTCGACAGCTTCTCCAGAGGCAGGAGCCAGTCCTCCGGCCCCCGCAGCTCCCTCTGTCCTGGCTGCTCTCGGACGCCTCTGCCACATCCCGGGTGAGGACGGCCAGCTGTGCTGAGGTGTCTCGGATGGAACCACAAAACCACAGCCGGCAGCCGGAGGGATGCACGTCCCGTGGACACACTAACTGGCAGCACCAGGTCTTTCCCTGGTTTACGCCGTACGCGGCTGGGCCTGGCCTGGTTCAGTGGGGGACACGAACCCCACCTTCTGTGGCGAAGGAGAGACAGCCACAGGCCTCTGTACCCCTGGGCTGGGCAAGGCCACGTTCGATCTGGGTGGTGGGCCTTCTCGCTACCCTAAGGCACAGTAATAACTGAAAGGCTGTGGAAGAAAGTGCACATTCTTTTTTGCGTTGTTTTGTTTTTTTGAGACGGAGTCTCGCTCTGTCGCCAGGCTGGAGCGCTGTGACGTGGTCTCGGTTCACTGCAAGCTCCACCTCCCTGGTTCAAGGGATTCTCCTGCCTCCGCCTCCCGAGTAGCTGGGATTACAGGCGCCGCCACGCCCGGCTAATTTTTGTATTTTTAATAGAGATGGGGTTTCACTATGTTGGCCAGGGTGGTCTCAATATCCTGACCTCATGATCCGCCCGCCTCGGCCTCCCAAAGTGCTGGGATCACAGGCGTGAGCCACCACGCCCGGCCAAAAGTGTACGTTCCTATCAACATTGAGCAAAAAAGGAGTTTTGCATTTTGCATTTTTTTTACTCTCAGAGGAAGAGTCCACAGTTGCTGGAAATGTCTCTTCCCACGGTGCCCTCTGTCCTGGTGTTTGAACCTCCTGGCCATTTCTGTGGACGAGATGCTGACAGCTCCTAAACCACCCTCCACGTTCAGAAATATCTTCTATCTGGCTGGGGCTCAGCCAGAGCCAGAAAGACAGGCTGAGGAGAACAGGCTCCAGGGCTGAGAATCCAGGCTCTTGTATTAAAGCTTGCTGGAGAAAAAAGAAATGTATTCCTCAGTGGACTTACGAATGGAGATCGAGTGGTTCGGCTTCAGTTGACCTAAACGGGTTGTTCTCTTGGGGACTGTCAACCAGGAATCCAGGGAGTTGCTGGACAGATTTGGCCAATCCATTCGGTCCCCAAGCTCCGCGGCCCCCGTTACCAGCACGAGTGTCTGATGGCTCCGACCCCGTGCCCTGCTCCCCAGGCCTGGGCAGAGACTTCACGGGAGCAACGTACCTTTTCCCCACGTCTTCCCTTGCTCCCTCATTCACTCCTGCCTCCATTCATCCGTCTAAACATCTACCAGCAGCCAGGCTTTCGCAAGGCCCTGAGGCAATTAAACATAGTTCTGACCTCCCCAACTGTAGAAAGGACTTAAAACACCTAACTCATATTTAAGGTTGTGTGATAACTAAATGAGATAATAGATGTAAAGCACTTATGCCTGGCTGATAAGTAATACAAAATAACAACAACCATCGTGACTAAGGTGCGGCGCTTAATCTCAGAGAGCTCCCGGCTTCTGGGGTCTCTGACAACAAGGAACAAGTACATGGCAACAGCCAAGGTCCCGGGCATGCTAGTGGAACAAACCCTGTTTCTTAAACTCCAGCCTCTGCCCGTGCCTGTTCCAGGTGCTTAGAGGCTATATTTGCAGCGGTGTGAGTTCACATGGGATCTGAGCCCCTATTTTACATCCTTCTCATGTGCAGAACAAGCTGCTTTTCCGAAGCCCGATAACACATTTCCATGGAAACCACTTCATCCTCTGGGACTCATCTCACGGATGCCGCTGCAGTGAGATTTTGTTGATGATATTCTTTGAAAAGATGACCAGTGGGTGTGCACGGACACTTAGTGTGTTTGTTTTCAGGTACACACACACACACGCCACTCACACAATCCTTTTTAACGGCTTTCTTCTGTAGAGTTTTAGCAGATTGATTGTTACTTAGGAAACTGTGACATCACCGACACCATGTACATCGGCAAAGCTGTCATTGCAGCAAAGGCTTGGTTTGCATTCAAGCAGGTTAAAAGAAAGAGAAAAGGGTGGATCCAGTGGTGAGTTAAAAATAGAGATGGGCTGGCCGGGTGCGGTAGCCCACGCCTGTAATCCCAGCACTTTGGGAGGCTGAGGCAGGCGGATCACGAGGTCGGGAGATCGAGACCATCCTGGCTAACACGGTGAAATCCCGTCTCTACTAAAAAATACAAAAAACTAGCCGGGCGTGGTGGCGGGCGCCTGTAGTCCCAGCTTCTCGGGAGGCTGAGGCAGGAGAATGGCGGGAACCCGGGAGGCGGAGCTTGCAGTGAGCTAAGATCCGGCCACTGTACTCCAGCCTGGGTGACAGAGCGAGACTCCGTCTCAAAAAAAAAAAAAAAAAATGTAATAAAAATCATGTGAGTGTGGACTCTCTCTCTCTCTCTCTCAAAATACCTTAATATTTTCATACCACAGTAACTGAAGCTGTGGAAAGTGAAACCATGGATGCAGGCAGACCCTGTATCTCAAAATCGCAATTGTTTCCAGTATTTATATTCACTCTCAACAGTTTGCAAGCCGATTATGATTCAACTCGTCTGGGCTGAGCTAGCCTGGACTCCAGGCTAACCTTACGGTCCGTTCTGCCCCCAGGCCGAAGGGGCAGTGGCAGCATCGTTGTGCTTCTCGGGGGACCAGCAGAGCACACTGGCTAAACCGAGCCAGGCAAGCAGATGGAAGGCTCTCGCCCACAAGAGGCCTGCTGCCGCTCCACGGCTCAAACCCAGCATCAGCCGGGTGCAGACATGTGCTGTGCCTGCTCCGGAGGCAGAGATCACAAGGTCACGTAACAAAGGGCGGATGTATCGTCCTAATACAAGACGTGAGCCGAGCAAAGCAAGCGTCTCAGCCATCCAGCGCTGTCAGGAGCATCTGCTGCTGGTGGACGTGTAAATTAATAGGGCCACTTTAGGGAACAATCGGCATTCATTACCCAGTAATGACAAAGATGTTTAGCCCATAACCAGCCCGCTGCAGTCTGAAGTATGCGGCTTCCAGAAACTCTCACATTTACAGTAACATTGTATAATACAAAAGTGCAGATATATTCGATATTTCAAGTAGTTCTCTGAAAAACACCTCAGGGCAAACATTTACATTCCCAGTTTGTAGACAACAGAATTGCACATCTGGGGTCCCCTGCGAAGGAGAACCTCACGAGGACCACAGTCTGCTTCCAGCGTGAGGCTTCGTCCCTGGCGGAAAGCTCTGTGTGATTCTCATGCCAGGGGGGTGCGTCTCCCCAGAACTCAGGGCCCAGGGCAAAGACATGAGTGACAGAAACACTGGAAGCAGGGGGTGCTGTCCTCATCCTTCTCTACACAGCTGTTCACACTAAACCGGGCAGTATCTCAGAGCAGACGGCGGACGGATGAGTCTGTGAACCCTGCAATGTTGCCAACAAACGCTGGGCAACGGCTCACACAATGCACACGGGCAGAGGCCTTTGAGAAGTGTGGGGAGGGAGGGGCGAGGCACGGTAGGATAGGGAATATTCTGGAAGGTTGAGCGGGTTGGGTCTGGTGCGGACCGTGCTGTGGTCATCTTCTCTAGGCGTTTCTGTGGCCCGCCCGACAACGCCGCTCACTCCCCGAACTTCAGTCAGCACCTTCCTCTGTTAAGAGAAGCAGTTACTCCTGATTGGAAAATGTGAGGCTTTCCTGAGACAAGACTGGCCAGGGTCACCCATTCTTCAAGGCTGAGTGCAGGAAGCAGGTTCTGACTTCTTGTGGATTACGTCCTTCTTTGAATTCCTATATCGTTTTTCTGTAAATCATTTATTTTAATGTAAACTGTGGTCTGCTTTGGATTATTGAAAGGCCTGGTGAGCGTATCTAATTTCAGTCTCTGGGCTACGAGCTCCCAGGTTTGGCAGGTAGCCTATGCTACTCTCACTCAGCAGCCCTCTCCCCCCACGCGTGTACTCTCAGCGCAGTGATCACGGTTGAGGGGTGTTTGGAAAGTACACGCTGACTTACGTTACGGTGTGTGACCGACTGACCATTGTGATGTTGGAGAGGAGGGAACAGAAGGCGTCTTCCTGAGGAAAGTAGGTTAACCCCGTGCGACACACCTCAGCAAAGATACTCCAGCCACCCTGCTTCCCCGTTTGAAGTAAAAGGCATCCAGAACAAAACCTACAATGGAAACTTTATTAAAGGTGAAAGACGAAACGATTTTCCTCGAAGATCAGAAGTGAGGCTCTCATTCCTATTCAGCATCACACTGGGGCAAGAATACAAGAAAAGGAAATTAAGGGCATACAAATTGGAAAGGATATCTTTGTTTTCAGATATCATAATAGTCAATGTAGAAGCTCCAATGAAATCTACCAAAACAAAAGAAAAACTACAAGTATTAAAAGGTTATAGAATACCGTGTGTTATAGACTGAATGTCTGTGTCCTCTAAAATTCATACGCTGACATCCTAACCCACAATGTGATGTGACAGGTGGTGAGGCCTTTGGGAGGTAACCAGGTCACGTGGATGGAACCCCCATAAATGCGGTTGGAGTCCCTAAAATAGGGACCACAGAGAGCTCTTCTGAGGATACAACAGGAAGGCGCTCAAAGGTTCTATTCCTCATTTTAAAGGCCGCCAGGCTCACACTTCAAACCAATATATGAGCTAGACCTGGGATTCAGGACTCTGAATTTTATCAGACAGACATTCCTAAAATGCAACTAAATTCTCCTCAGGTAAAAAGAAAGAAGAATTTTGAGACTAGCATGGATTTGTGGTCAAATAATATGTGCTCACCGACTGTATTACCCAGGCGCTAGTCATGCACGATAAGAAACTTGGAATACGATCTGTCACTGATGGACATTTGGGTTGATTCCAAGTCTTTGCTATTGTGAATAGCGCTGCAATAAACATACGTGTGCATGTGTCTTTATAGCAGCATAATTTATAATCCTTTGGGTATATACCCAGTAATGGGATGGCTGGGTCATATGGTACATCTAGTTCTAGATCCTTGAGGAATCGCCATACTGTTTCCATAATGGTTGAACTAGTTTACAATCCCACCAACAGTGTAAAAGTGTTCCTATTTCTCCACATCCTCTCCAGCACCTGTTGTTTCCTGACTTTTTAATGATCGCCATTCTAACTGGTGTGAGATGGTATCTCATTGTGGTTTTGATTTGCATTTCTCTGATGGCCAGTGGCACATATACACCATGGAATACTATGCAGCCATAAAAAAGGATGAGTTTGAGTCCTTTGTAGGGACTTGGATGCAGCTGGAAACCATCATTCTTAGCAAACTATCACAAGAACAGAAAACCAAACACCGCATGTTCTCACTCATAGGTGGGAACTGAACAATGAGATCACTTGGACTCAGGAAGGGGAACATCACACACCGGGGCCTGTCATGGGGAGGGGGAGGGGGGAGGGATTGCATTGGGAGTTATACCTGATGTAAATGACGAGTTGATGGGTGCAGCACAGCAACATGGCACAAGTATACATATGTAACAAACCTGCACGTTATGCACATGTACCCTACAACTTAAAGTATAATAATAATAAATAAATTAAAAAATAAATAAATAAATAAACAAACAAAAAAAAAAGAAACTTGGAATACGAGGAAGGCACATTTCCCTGGGCACACAAATGAGGAGGAGATGACCTCGATCTTAGTCTAGAGATGGGTTGGATATGTTTTACTTGTAATGTAGGAGAGGCAGAAGACATAAAAATGTGTTTGTGGAAATTATGGGCTGGGGAAAATGGGTGTTGAGCAATGCTTATGCTTCAATGCTCCTTTTTCAGAGATGTACAGAGATTCCATGGCTTGTCTTAGAGGTAAAGGTAAGAACTGAAATGGCAGCTGGGCGCAGTGGCTCACGCCTGTAATCCCAGCACTGTGGGAGGCCGAGGCAGGTGGATCAGGAGGTCAGGAGATGGAGACCATCCTGCCTAACACGGTGAAACCCCGTCTCTACTAAAAATGCAAAAAATTAGCCAGGCGAGGTGGCGGGCACCTGTAGTCCCAGCTACTAGGGAGACTGAGGCAGGAGAATGGCATGAACCCAGGAGGTGGAGCTTGCAGTGAACTGAGATCGCGCCACTGCACTCCAGCCTGGGTGACAGAGCGAGACTCCATCAAAAAAAAAAAAAAAAAAAAAAAGAACTCAAATGACTTACAAGGTATCAGGACATCAGAGATGCTGAGCAATGATTTATTGCCAGAAGCATCAAGGAGAGGTGGAACCAAGAACTGGCGTGCTCACCCTCCAGCAGCGGCTCTGGAACGGCCTTCTGCAGGTGACCACCGCCTGCCGTGACTAATGCCTCCTTGTTCTATGGAGGAGGCTGCAGGGAGCGAAGCCATGATGCCTGTGAAGGCAACTGTAGCCGGCCTCTCTGAGTGCCCACGTGTTATTGCCACTTACAACCCAGAGGCACAGAATGAATTAAAGGGAACCGATTTCTGAGAAACATAAGCCAGGACATAGACAAGTGGGGAAGTTCTTCAGAGGTTCAGAGGGGCAGCATTTACTACTTTTTTGTTTGTTTAGTAACTGAACAAAGATTAGAATAATTAATAGGAGAAAAATATACCAGTACTTTTCAGTTTTACAATCACAAAGAGCTTCTGTTAAACTCCTGATTGCATGTGACCTACTTAGAAGGACTGATAAAGGCCAGCTTCTCAAGTAGAGATTGCAATGTCCCACCCACAATCTCGTGCCGTCAGGGCACCCCAGACCTCCAGTAAGATGATGTGGAAGTGGGCACAAGAATGCCAGCATTAGATTATTTATAGAATCTTAATCTCAATGCCATGGAGATAGAAGCATAAACAATACTTCCCGGTTTGGAGAGAGTGGGGCTTGTGAAAGGCAATACCTGGTAACCAAGGTGTCTCTATGAAGTCAGCAGGTCCGCTTAATATTTTAACAACGTTTCTTCCATCTTCTGTCTCCATTGCTGGGCGAAGTTCAGTGCTCAGTCCTCAACACGTTGGTGAGTTTCCAAAGACTATGTTCCCATGATTTCTTCTCTCTCGCATCTCCTCTTCCTGCAGAACTTTTCCTCCCCCAAGATGGTCTTTCATTCAAATGTCTTTTCTTCTGTCTGTCCTCTGACATCCTAACCATGGACAACACCCTTTCCCTGCATTCTCCAAAATACCAATGCACAAGTCAATTATGTGCGGAGACCTTTACTGAGGATTTGAGAGTCTCAGAGGAGAGTCACTACACAGCTGAACTTTCGAATAGATGATCTTAACTAATTAATAGTGCAGTGTGTTGGACATCCCTGCTCTTAACAATCCCCTAGTCAAATTGGCCAAGAATTTCATGCTAGCTATCTCACTTCAGACTCCAGCCTCCTCTCACAGCCTTGAACCTTCTCAAATGCTTCATTTTAAGCAACGACTGAACACAAGTGAATTACATTGCCAACTTAAAACCTAGAAACATAACAAAAGAGTAATTCACACACAAACTAAAGGAAAGGGGATACAGAAAACAGAGTCAAAATTAACATGAAACAGAAGAAATATAGGCCTAATTAATAAACCAATAAACCACTGGTCACTAATAAAGAAAAACGGTAGAATCACAAATATAATAATAATAACAAGTGTCCAGGGGTAATAATTATTGACAAAGGAAAAACGTTTTCATTGGCTATTTGCACACATCTGTAAACATAAACGGGTGAAACTATGTGAAATGGATAATTTCCTAGGGAAAAGCAGGTTCCCAAAACTGATGCCAGTAGAAACAGAAAATTTAAACAGACCAATTCTAATAACAGAAATGGAAAAAATTATCAAGATTCTACCATTCCACACACACAAAAATGGTACCAGGTTCAAATAGTTTCTCTTTTTTTCTTCCTTTTAAAATGGGGTCTCGCTCTGTCACCCAGGCTAGAGCGCAGTGGTGCGATCTTGGCTCACTGCAACCTCCACCTCTGGGGTGCAAGCGATTCTCCTGCTTCAGCCTCCTGACTAGCTGGGATTGCAGGAACCCATCACCATGTCCAGCTCTTTTTGTATAGTAGAGATGGGGTTTCACCATGTTCACCAGGTTAGTCTCGAACTCTTGACCTCAGGCAGTCTGCCTGCCTCGGCCTCCCAAAGTGCTGGGATTACAGGCATGAGCCACTGCGCCCAGCCCCAGACAGTTTCACAGGTGAATTCCAACAAACACCCAAGATTAAATAATTCAAATGATACATAAATTGCTGCAAGCCAACGAACATACATAAAATATTCAAATTAGCTTTATAAACTATAAAATGGATATAACCTGATAAACATAGCACAGTGAAACTAAATTACAGACTAATACCACTTACAAATATTGATGCAAAAATTCTAAATACAATGTCGGTGAACAGAGTCCCAAAACAACACTTGTTTCAAAATCTAAACTAAAAGATACTTAAGAACACATTCCGTAAAAGAATATTATTTATTATTTTTAAAACATATTAGTGTTTATATTTCTAGATAACGTTCACAATGATATGTCTAAAGATGGTATTATTTAAAGATAGATTTTAATATAACAAATCTAACGCGTTTCCTCTCCATTCCCTGTAGGTGTTTAGCTTAGTGTTTAATCAAATGTTCTCTGGGCTCCTCATTCATTCCTACCTTGCACTAGCTCTGTGACCTTAGAAATGTTGCTTAACCTCTGGATGACCCAGTTTTCTCATGTGCGGATGTGGAGATAACAGCAGGACGTATGTCCCAGGGTTGTCCTAAAGAACCAGTGAATTAAGGCCACATATACACCATGGAATACAATGCAGCAATAAAAATGTACAAGATCATCTTGTCTGCAGGAACACAGATGGAGCTGGAGGTCATTATGCTTAGCAAACTAACACAGGAGCAGAAATCCAAATACCGCATGTTCTCACTTACAAGTGGGAGCTAAATAATAAGAAACACATGGAGCCCTCAAGGGGAACATCACACACGGGGTCCGGAGAACGGAAGAAGGGAGAGGATTAGGAAAAGTAATTAATGGGTACTAGGCTTAGTACCACAAAATAAACTGCAAACAAACCCTCATGACATACGTTTACCTGTGTAACAAACCCACACGTGTACCCCGGAACTTCAAATAAAAGTTAAAAATATAAACAAACAGAAAGGACACAGAAGAGAACTTGCCAGGCAGTTAGAGCGCAGCGTTTGCTATTGTTCTACCAGTCACCACTTTGTTTAGTCCAAACCTTCAAGCCCAGGCCAGGGCTACAATGCTCCCCTGTCCAGCTCCCCTTCCCCCGCCTTTTAAAAGAACTGTCATCAAGTCTATCAAGGTACAAAATCCCTCACGTAGCATCTGTTCTGTGGCCCCAGAGCACCTTGGCGGGAAGCACCTCAAAGCCGCTGGCTGTGGGGTCTGCCCTGAAGCGATGGTTGCTTTTGTGGCTGTGACTGCCTCCTCGCAGGTGATCACCCCAAGTTTTATTTCTTACAAGTTCTTCTCACTTTCCTCCCACATGGAGAGAAAGAAAAGAAATATCCATGCAGGACACAATTATACTGATCATTGAAACTTCATCACTAAAGAAGAAAGAATAAATGTCCTTGAAAAGAGAGTATTTAAGTGCAGTGACCCTTTTTCCCAGCAAGGGCTGAAGAATTTACATGTCTCTGGCTCAATAATCCCCATTTTTAAAAAAATCCAAGCTTTAATTTAAACAGTCCATTTTAAACAGTAATATTTGACAAGGTATCCTCATGTAAATTTAAGTTTGTTTCAAGACTTAGCTCTAGGAATACAAATACCTTATTTTCAAAACCAAATGAGGCAGGAGGAGTCCCACCTTGCATTTTTCCATCATTTTGAAGCTGGCTCTCTGGCCCGTCCCTCCCCAGGCCTTGGAAGAGGCCCGACTTCCCTTCACGTCCCGTCTTAGAAATCCTCTAGCCCTGGAGTAAATCAGAGCCTTTCCCATCATGCTCCCTGACGTGCTGCTTTAAACCCTGAGAGGACCTGGTCCTTCCCCAGCACCGCTCTGTCCCGGGGAGAAGAATATTACTGAGATCTGTGTGTGTTTGCTGCCGAGCCAAGACAGAAAACACGGACGCCCCGAGGCATCTGCTTACCCATCTGTGGCTCCTGCGGCGTCTTCTCTTTCCTGCTGGCCTCTCAGTCACCAGGAGTCCCGGGGACAGCACCTGCTTGGCCCCTTCTTGCTGCTCTCTCCACTCAGGGCTCCCAAACTGAAGGACCCGATTCTCCCCTGAGACACCCATCCACAGAGCTCACGGCCTCACAGAAGGAGAATCGGCGACCAGCTTTCCCTCTGCCTCCGTCTGTTCTCTGCTGCTGTAACAGAACACCCGGAACTGGGTAATTCGTGATGAACAGAAACGTGTTTTGCACAGTTCTGGAGTCTGGGAAGTTTAACATCAAGGTGCTGGCATCCGGTGAGGGCCTTCTGTGTGCGTCCTCCTGTTGTGGAAGGTGAGAGGGTGAGACAAGAACCCAGTCCTGAAAGCCCTTTGTAAAAGCACTAAACCTACCCACGAGGGCAGAAGCTTTATGGCCTAATCACCTCGTCACAGCCCCAGCTCTTAGTGCTGTTACGACTGGAGTGACGATCACACACGCCAGCGTGAGTTTTGGAGGGACAAGCATTCCAGCCCCGGCCCACCCGTCGGCTGACGCTGCTGCTAAGAGGAAACGACGCTTCACGGACGGGCTCCTGCCTTTTGTGTTAGTCGGGGTTCTCCAGAGGATAAAACGAAGGATCTAGATATGAATCTGGAACTAGAAATAGATCGTTGCCAAATACACGAGAAGAGACTGATCAGGGGATGGGCTCGCATGACTGTGGAGGCTGAGACGCCCCAGCAGAGGCCGTCTGCGCGCTGGGGACCCGGGGAAGCTGGCGTGGAACGCGCCAAGCAAATCGGAAGGCCCCAGCACCAGCAAGGCCGATGGCGTGACTCTGTCTGAGGCTAAACCTGAGAAACTGGGGCTGTGGCGCGAGCCCTGGAGTCCCAAGACCAGAGAACCTGGAGTTCCGATCCCCAAGGGCAGGAGAAAGAGAACCAAGAGAATCCACCTGTCCCTGCCTTCGCTCTTCTCGAGACCTCAGCGCTTGGACAGCGCCCACCCACTGGGTGAGGAAACAGGTATTGGCTGCTAGGGGGTGACTGTGAACTATATGATGGAAACATAAAAACACAGTTTTTTCAGTGAAAGCACCTGATTTTCTCCATGAGCTGGTTGGCGTTTTGTCTTAGCATATTCTGTGCAGCATCTTGAAAAGACGTTTGTCTTTCTGGATCAAAGAAAGAGGCAGAGAGATGTGCTTGTTTCTCGAAAATAAACCTGAGTTCCTGCCCGCTTCTCTCTGCTGAACGGCTGCACTCTCTGCATTTGTGCTAAATTCCTCAAAAGACAAAGGCGATTGGATTTTTATCACTTTAGACCCATGGTGGGAGGAAAAGCATCTTCTCGACGCTGAAAATTAATGTCAGCTTCAAAGAACGCTGGACGTTCTAGTCTTCACGTGTAACTGGTAACCGTGGACTGTGGTCAAAGGCTGCTCCTGGCAGCGGAGGACTTGGCCATGAACCGGGATGGCTGCAGCTGTGCACGAGCCCTACAGAAATGGCCACGCAGAGCGGAAGCTTTACGGACAGGACGCTTCCCTGGATGTGCTCCTTGGTGTCCAGATCTCCTCGACACACATCTGAGTCTGTGGTGCCCTCATGTTCGTGACCTAACACTCTCATCTGTTTGTTTCCAGGGACGTGCCAGAGACATGCCGTAAAAAACAGTTATGTTTGTTCACGGTTGGGGTCTATGTGAACACACATGGCCAAAATATTTTGGATGATTTTGAGAACTACACCCAATGTTATTCTAATATACAACAAAATCACTTCTAAAGAGGAAAAATGACATTTACTAATCCAAACAAAGTACATTTTACTGACAAATAATAGTAAAGTGGTTTTGCTTGAACTAGATTCTAAATTCCAGACTCTGCAGGATCAGAGGCCTCACTGGTTTTCTGCACCGGTGCACACCCAGCACGAGCTCTGAGCCTGCCCCGGCAGACCCTCTGTAAATGCCGATAATGACCTCCATCTGACAGGAAAATGACGACGAATGAGCATAACTGTTTTATTACCGTGAGTATGAGCCTTCCCTTTCACTCATGCTGACCCTAGCGAAGCGTGCAGGACCTGCTGAGCCTTCTGCTGAAGGACGTGGCCAGCCAGGGCAAGGCCCAGCTTAGGTCCATGTCATTCTGAGTGCCGTGGGCTTGGCTGGGGATACGTGTTGTCATCAGAACTGAGGAAGGACCAGTGTCTGCTCAG